GGATGTGTGGGGTGTGGGTTGTGGTGGGCGGCAGGCGCCGTCTACGTTTTGTGTGGAGCGTTTTATTCTTTTTTGGTTCTATTTTTTTCTGTTTCATGCTGTGCGGGATTGGGGGTGCCTATTTGCGTGTGTGTGTGTGTGCAGAGACGTTGATCACGCCGGTGTGGGACGGTGGCCGGCGGGGTTCACGGGCAGAAGCCCTTCGTACCCACCACGTTGTTGTTGTCGCTGACTCTCCTCAACACTCTGCGGTGCGTGGGGCACTCACATTGCCGTCGTGGTGGTCCTCCTGCGTGTGCGTGAGGTGTGCGCCGTGTACTGTGTGAGTGGTATGTTCTCTTTTGTTGCAGCCGCGTAGAGTCGTGTTTATGCGTAATTTTGTTTCTCTTTTCTTTCATTCATCGTTTTGACTGGTTGTTTGTATTGTGCTGCAGCTAAGGCCAAGTCAACAAAATACGAAGGAAAACAAAATAATAATAAAGGGAATGATGTCTGTAAACAGGTGGGTAAGGCTTTTTAGGGGTGCAAGATCTTCCTTACCTTCTCTATTACAAGAGCGGCTTTTGTCGGGGTCGGGGCTGTCTGGCGGCTCGTATGAGCCCCCCACAGAGTGCCGAAGGGTGGAAGGAGCGCTGCAGCGGCCAAGGTGGACGCTTGCAGGCTCTATCGAGGATGTCCGCAATGTGCGGGTTGGCCAAATCAATATAATTTTGCTGAACGACTTCCTTCGGTAGTACGTTGGCCCCAGCAGAGTGGTGGGTGAAGACCAAAATGTGTCAATGGAGGTGTTTGTGCGTGGGCCAGACAGGTACGTTACAGAGCAGAGGCGTCGTGAGGGGGAATCCTCGATTCCACCAGGGTATCAGCTTTTTGAAGATGCACGCAAGCTTACGGAGCGCATGGTGGCCACGCTGCGAGACTGGAAGGAATTTACAGATAAGGAGTATTGTCTCTGCTATTACACGAACAAAACTGAAGGCAGCTCTTCAACTAGCGTAGGAGGAAGGGGCAACACGGGAAAACGAAATACGCCCCAGACAACCATTATCGGAGGGATTCTACGAGTCCGTGTTTAACGCAACGTGGAGTCACGTCATGGGATTTCCTGAGGACGAAGATGAATACATGGTGATGATAGAGGGCCAACGGCCGCAAGAGTTATTGTGGGAGTACACGCAGACTGTGCGTACTTTTTTCTCAGTGGGTGGTGATGAGCAATTCTTTCCACCACGCCCACGACTCATGATCCTTTCCTCTGAACAGCGATGGCCGTACTCGCTGGAGCATGCAGTGCCTATTACCGACTGCTACATTAACATTGAGGTGCATCGGGTGTGGAAGATCGTCGGGGGCGATCTAAAAGGAGTGTTTCTCCCTCCAGAGAGAGGCCCACCATGCATGAGACGCCGTCTTTTGATTGGAACCCCCAGGGTAGGGAAGTCAATGGCGGCTGACTCCTACCTCCTTTACCAGCTGCTGCACCACGACGCCACGAAGCTCCATGTGGTTGTGTTCTGCTTTGGAAGGGATTTTGCATACTTGTTTGACAGGAGGGCACGAACGGTGACAGAATATGAGGGTGGGTGTAATATTGGAAGGGCTATGATAAATTTGGCTAGGAGTGGAATGAAGGGGTATATTATCATCGATATGGCAAGACATTTTAACGAACCATCGAATGATTTTGTGCCCTCCCCTGAGTGGGGCATCATTATGTTGTCATCCCCGAACGAAGATAACTTCAAACAATGGGCGGAGCAGGCGGGTGCTATCAAAATAATCATGAATTGCCCCGATAAAAACGACGTGAAGGCGATGTGTGCGTGGGAGACACCCAATACGACTGAAGAGGAGCAAGCGGAGTATTGGAGAAGGATGCACATGCGCATGGATGATGTCGGACCGATTTCACGATGCATCTTTAATGACGATAATTATAAGGACCGCGTGGAGGAAATCAAGGACATCCTGGCAGGTATCGACGCCTCAAATGCTGTACATTATGGGATGATTGGGGGCATGGGAATGCGGCCCTCGAATGACGCACCTCACAAACTTGTGAAAGTTGTCAGAGCAATAAGACAACGCGGTCTTGAGGCGTTTGTTAACATGCCGGTCTGTTTTTCCATTGGAAGCAAATTAATTGGAAGGTTGCTCGAGGTGGATGAGGAGAATGGCATTATTTTTCGACTATGTAAGCACTGCGAAGTGTTAATTCCGGAACTTTTGGAGCAGCATACTCTGCACGCATTCCTGCGTAGAGGCTTTGTGGAAAATATAATGCCGGGCCTCAACGGGTTGCCTCCACCAGGACGTCGTCGGCGACAGAGATGTATGCTGCAATCGAACCCCGAAAAGCATCCAAGCATATCCGTTGCATTGATAACGCTGGGCCACACTCCTCTGATGTTGGATGTACAATACAAGGTGCTATACCTACCGGAGAGCAGTAATTTTCCGCTTGTGGACGGCTTTTTCTTCGTTGGTGCACCGCGGAGGACGATGGTTGGGGTGCAGGTGTGACGACGAGGGCTGAGCATGGCACCAGAGCCAGCACGGTGGTGCAGTTCAACAATTTTCTACGGAATTATTTTAATGACTGGGAAACGTTTGCGGAAGGCTTGTCGTGGGAGATTATTTACGTGCAGCATGAGGACAGCACGACAATAAACGCGTGGCAGGGATGTGTTCTCGTCGCGCACGCAAATGTAACGGGCAGCAATGAGCGTGAGGACCCTCAGGCTATTGCGGCATTTTGGAATCAGCAGGTGCGTCAGTGCGAGGTAGCGGTATCAGCTGAAAATTTCAGAAGTGAACGACAAACCCAACGTGGGCGACACCCAGAGGGAGAAGGAAAAGGAGGAGGGGAATAAACAGCTTGAGTTTACTGGTGAAATATTTTAGGGAGTATGATATATTGCCGAGTGTGTTTGTGTGTGGGTAGGAGGCGCACTTAGGGACTCGCTCTGCCGTGCGCCAAGTGATTATTATGGCCAGCGCTACCACAGCAGCACTTTTTTTTTGTTGTGGTTGTGTTGTGGTTGCGAGTAAAATTGCGTGGGGAATGATGGCGCCTTGTGGGTGTACGCCGGCAGTATTCCATTGGTGATATCTCCTCGCTGTTCCCAGTTTGTTGCTGCAGAGAGTTTGGGCGAGAGGGTAAGTTTTGCATGCTGAGTGGGCTCACAGGC